AATTCGCATTGCGATTTTGTCGTTGCGATTTTCATTTCGCATTGCGATAGCCATTTCCGCGTTGCAATATTCATTTTCGCGTTGCGATTTTAAGTTTCATGTTGCGAAAGTAAACTATTCTTCTTCTGTAAATTGAAACTTGAATGGATTGCATTACTTCAACCAAAAGACAAAACCAAAAACAAATACTAACTTCCACGTGTAGATTCGACTTCTCCAGCTCAGGAAAAACCCGGGATAACCATGATGGGCGGGTAATATGTCTAGTGTACCGACCTATATCATCGTGTCCGAAGCGTAGACCGGTGATTAAGCAAAACTCCTCCCGCCCAAAACACGTATACGCCGGTGGAAAATCAAACCATATCTCTTCATCACGACGTTGTATAGTCTCTGGTAGATCGCTAGTCATGGTTTGAAGAAACAGGTGTGTTAACATCGCATCTCCACCCAGATGTTGTACTTTCAGCCATGGCTCGAAGCAAGTATCCTCAAACATTTTTCTTTGTGCAGTCGAAAGCTTCGACGCAATTGTTTTGGCCAGGCTTACTTTATTTCTTAAGGTCAATTGAGCCGAATAAAAGTTCTACAAAAACAATAAACATACCAAGTTAGATATACCAAAAACTACACTGTGAAGATATACCAAGAACAATAAACATAAAGAGTAGTAGTTTATTTTTCAAACTTAAATTTGCAACACTGTGAATTTAGTATTTGGCTTTGTTTTTTGGTTGAAGTAATGCAATTCATTCAAGTTTCAATTTGCAGAAGAAGAATAATTTCTGAAACTTAAAATCGCAACGACAAAATGACTATCGCAACACGAAAATGACTATCGCAACGCGGAAATGACTATCGCAACGAGAAAATCGCAATGTGGAAATGAAAATCGCAATGTGAATTTGGTTTCGCGTTGCGATTTTAATTCGTATTGCGATTCTCTCGTTGCGATAGTCATTTCCACGTTGCGATAGTCATTTTGTCGTTGCGATTCTCATTTCGTGTTGCGATTCTCAGTTTCAAATACTAAAATTGAAACTTGAATGGATTGCATTACTTCAACCAAAAGACAAAACAAAGACAAATACTAACTTCACAGGGTTAAAGACTAAACAGTTTAGCAGTATTGGCAGCAATCGAATGAATTTAATAAGCAATCTAAATGAAATGGTTAATCTATTATTGAAATTACCAGTAAACTTATCATCAATTTCAATATGAAAAACCTAATAATAATGCAAAAATTTCAAAATAAAAATAATTAAAAAAGCTAACACTCGGTGGTTGATTTGGTTGATTTTCCATTTATGACCGTGAATGATTGTGAGGGTGGCTCTGAGAGATGGAGATAGATGGATTTCGTCGGAGATGGGGACGGATTTCATCGAAGATGGGGACGGATGTCGCCGTAGAGAGTGAGAGATGGAGATGGGACTGAGTTGTGATTTTAGGTTTTAGGTTATGAGTTGCGATTACGGGATATACTGTGGACGGTTCAGTGTTCCAATATATTAATATTCGTGTTTGTAATTTGAAAATAAAATATGCGTTGCGATATTAATGGCGCTTTGAAAATCGCATTGCGATTCTGTATTATCTCGTTGCGATAGTCAGAATCGCGTTGCGAAAGTCAGTATCGCGTTGCGAAAGTCAGTATCTCGTTGCGATTTTATATTATCGCGTTGCGATAGTCAGTATCGCATTGCGATTTTCCAAATTCGCATTGCGATTTACGTATTCGCATTGCGAATTGGGAAAATCGCAACGCGAAATTGGAAAATCGCATTGCGATAGTCATAATCGCGTTGCGAATCTGGAAACTGATTTGCGATAATGGAGATCGCGTTGTGAATTAGCGATCGCATTGCGATTTTGTTGGTCATTTTGGCAAATCCGGAAAAAGTTGGTTAAAATCGTATATTATATGGGATTTTTGGTCACTGAGGTTATTTTCATATTAATATCATTATGTTAGAATACTTATAATTATTTCGAAAAAGCATATGTTTAAAAGACACAATAAGAGATGTTTAAGGTACGGCATCCTTAATATATGATTAAAGAAAGGCGCTACCAGAAATGTTAATATTTTTTTAACATTTACGGTAAAACGTTACCTAAAACATTATTTTTTTTCTACCGGAAATATTAATATTGGGCGCTACCTAAAATGTTTAACATTTCCGATAAAGCGCTACCTAAAACATTATTTTTCTACAGGAAATGTTAATATTGGGCGCTACTTAAAATGTTATTTTTTCTACCGAAAATTAGGTAGTGAAATTAATATTTTATGTAACACTTTACCGAAAATGTTAAAAAAATATTAATATTTTCGATAGGACCTTTCTTTTGCCGTATATTAAGACTATTGTACATCATAACTACCCTCAATAAGAGTAGATATCAAATAAGTGAAAACAATGGGTGATCCAAAAGAATTCCCAGAAGTATCTAATGAAAGCAAGGAAACATATCTCGGACCACCAGATCCAGGAATCATCCACGATTCAGACATGACGATAGATAAACCAGAAGAAATATTACCGTTATATGCCTCGGTTCTAGCCGCAAACCCTAATGGTGGGACTAGCTCGATCGTCAATCAAGTGGAAGATGAGGAAGACATCGATTTAACTGATGAGGACTTCATCATCGACACTTGTGGTGGCATGTCGTCAATTCAATTCTCTGAGCGAGCCTATAGATTAATGGAGGCTAGTATGTCAAGAAAGGTCGTCCTTAAACTGTTAGGCTGAAACATAGGGTTAAACGCTCTTACAAACAAGCTTTTCACAACCTGGAAACCATCCCAAGCATTCACTCCTATGGATCTGGGTAACGAAATTTCTTCTTATTCCAAATTCCAGAATTACATCAATTGTGAGAAAATCCTGGCCGAGAAACCTTGGATCATCTACGGACTATACCTGATCGTCCAACAATGGATAAGGAGCTTTAGCACTTCCCAAACATATCCCACCAGTGTTATGGCTTGGATTCACTTCCAAGTTTTGCCATAATATATGTTTAAAAAGAAAATTCTAACTAGTATAGGTAATCTTGTTGGCAGGGTTGCGAAGTTTGATATGTGCAAAGATACTAGTAACATGAGACGTTTTATGAGAGTCGCTGTTTACATTGACCTCAAACAACCTCTTGTCTCTTATATTATAGTGGGAGACAAATAAGGATGGGTACGAGACCTGAACCCGAAAGGTTTCGATCCGACCCAATCCGATCGGGTCGAATTTTTTAAAAAAAATTCGTGTTCGGGTCGGATTCAGGTTTTGGGTGAAAAATACTTGACCTGACCTGACAAAAAAAATAATTTTACCTATTATGGTAGGGCCCGACAATCTTAATTTTTTGCCAACTTGTACCTCTTATGCCACAGTTTCTTCTACTAACAACCATATTGCCAACCCCATGCATGGAAGTCACGTTTCTCGTCCCATGTAATGCACTCCATGCATGAATCTATCGATACCATATTCAAACCAAAGCACGTCGTCAACCTCCCACCCTATAGCAGCCCCGACGATAACCGTGCTGGTAAGCCTAAATGGTTCTAATTTCACCTCTAATGCTAACCTATCTTTGATAATTTTTGGAGTGTTGAAGGGAAAATGGTGAACACCTCCCTCAATCTTAAGCTCCACTCGACGATTAGCTTTAATGAGGAGTATTGTCTCTCTTCCACCATTTCTACTAGCTCACATGGGCAAGTCACTAATTGACGACCACTTGTTTCAAAAGAGAGAGTCGCCCTTTATGTGGTTCATAACAAGGGTCTTAAGCTTAAAGCTACCACAACACCACATAAGTTGGTTCAAGTTGCGATAGAATGAGTCCTCAATTATATCCAAAACCATTTACAGTCTCAAATCCTTGGGGTTGAACGTATTGAAATCACATTTGACTTTCTGAGAACACACTTGGCGAGATTATCTTGCTAAGAAAGAATTGAGATCGGAATTAATAGTTATTGAAACAACAATCCGAGTCGGTCTTTACGTACTATCCGAATCGGTCTTTACGTACTTAAATGATTATTGATCTACTACAATTGATGTTGATCAAATCAATTTCCGAAGCCGGAATCAAAGATTGTCTTTGGTATTCGGTATACAAAGTATAATAACGATGATTGCCCTTGTAGACAAAGTAACCGACCTGAATCCCGAAGAGAAAATCTAATTCGATGATCCGAAGAAAATTGAGTCAAAGCGAGGCTTGAGGTTGTTTTTATCATATTTATTTTCATATTTGTATTCTTTATTTTTACTTTAAATAGTTTTTTCTTTATTTATTAATTAAAAAGAATGAATTTATTTTCAAATCAAAACCACAATTTTCAACGAGGTTGTCTGAGTTGCACAACCCGCCTACTGAAATCCAAAGACTTCTCCAATTTGATATGCACGCATTGAGAAGAAACTCTACCAACCGCTAACCCAGTGGTCCCTCTTTTGTAACAAAAAAAAAGACCATTAAAAGCAAAATGTTTATTTGTCCTCCTTAAATAAGAATTGTTCAAAAATAAAAAGAAATACCCATTAACAATCAAATCTAAATTGGGAAATCAAATAAAATATTATCATAAACAAAACAAATATAATCTGAAATTAATTGTACAATCACTAATACAATAAAATTAAATACATGTGAGATTATAAAAAAATAAAAATATATGTTTCTCATTTTTAATAATTTTTTTTAAAAAACTGAAAAATTAAATTTTAAACTAAAATAAATGTGAATAAATTTAAATTCGAACTAATTGTGGATCAAAATAAATATTTTAAACTTAAATCTAAAATATTAGTTGGACAAATAACATTGATGGCCTTGGGCGTGTAAAAGGCTGAGTAAATGGATTTTGCATATCCATAGTTCCGCTGGATGTCGCAGTCTCGTCTTTGTAGTTTCGGTTGAAGAGCTCCACAGCCCAATCACTCCAAATACTTAATTACTTTGTACAATTTCTCACGTGTTCAACTTCAACGCTTTCCTCTTTTCTTCCAACTACGAACTAAGCTTATTTCTCTTTTTATGAAAGAAGATGGCTAGAGTTGAAGGAAGAATCATTTAGCGGCGGTTCTGCCCTTCATCCATCCTTCCTTGTGCTCTAGGAAAGACGACGAAATGGTGTTCAAGAACAAGTTATTCTTCTCTTCTAAGAAATCTGCTTCTTCTAGTCCCGATGGATCCAACAGCCCTCGTTCCGCTTCCCATTCCCCGATCCGATCCGACAAGAAAAAACCCAAAGCTTCACTCTCCACCTCTGATTCCCAACAGATCCCCAATCCACCCTCCCCTTTCAGTCCCAAGCAAATCCAAGTCAACCCAAAGGACCCCAAACCCCTGCTGCCAAGCCCTCTTCTTCTACCTCCAAGAAGCCCGATGCCAAGGACGGGCCTTCTTCCGTCTCGCCCCTGCTGGCCTCTTCCTTGGGGTTGAATCGGATAAAGACCCGATCCGGTCCCTTGCCCCAGGAGAGTTTTTTCAGTTTCAGAGGGGAGAAAAGTGCCTCTGCTTCAGTGCTTGGAGCTAGTAACTTGTCCAGGCCAGGAGGTTCAACTAGCGCTCGGGGCAGTGCTAACTCTGGGAAATCGGGTTCTGGGAAGAAAGTCGGGTTGAACCAGAGGTTACTGCAAGAAAGTTTGCTTGACAACGCGAGCAATTCGGATAGTATGTCAACTGGAAGTGCTAGTGCTGGGTGGCACTCTAGAGAGCAGAGCCCTAGTCTACAAGGGAAGTCCCAGTTGCAGAATGGGGAATCATCCTCCGGAGCTGGTACTGATCTTGCTCTGTCTCATTACTGTGCCTTTTCCCCCCGGAATATTTATTCTTTTCATTGTGCCTTTGATGACACTTTGGTGGCAGTACTATTGTTTCGTTGTTATTGTTTCTTTGCTTCCTCCATTCTGGGGCTTTGGTTTTGGATTTCGTTATTTAGTGATTGGTTGCTGAATAGAATGCTCAAAACAATCTTTTGCTTCCCAATGTTCGAACATTGTCAAAATTAGGTGATAAGCACCTAACCATTGAAGACAAGAGAAGAGCTGGTCTGTTTATGCCACTTAACGGTTTTGGATTCCCCAGTCTAAGATTTGGGTTACAGCTCTGAGGTTTTTGGCTTTGGCCATCATATAGGTATAACCGAAAAGGTAGGTAGAACGTCAAGGAAGCTTAAATTCGCCACGTAAATTTGTCACAAGATTTAAGAATTTTATTCTGCACTTTAATACAGATGTTTAAAAGAAAAAAAAGGTTAGAATTGGACTCCCTCTGTCCTTTTGATAAGAGAAGAGACAACGTGTGAGACAAAGAAGTTGCGTTATTTAGGGCATTGATCTGAAATGCTGTATAAAAGACATAGAGTGGATTAGGTTATAAGAATTACTTTTATCATACCTGTGTCTTGTGAGTTCTTGGATAGTTAGCATTTCACATGTAGCTGGCAAATGAGAAAAAGGAAAAATAGAGAATCAAGTTTAGTTCTTCAAGAAATAATCTGAGATTATGCAGTTACTTGAGCTGTCAGATTCCGAAATGGAAAAAAAGTATATGCTTAAATGTTTTCTGTTAAGTTTTATTTATGCTCTTCAATATTATTCTTTAAATTTTTGCTGAATTCTGAGGGAAAGAAAGGCATCTATTAATTTGAAAATGGATTTTTATAAATGTTCACTTCAGTTTGTACTTGGTAGATATCATTAGAGGTGGCAAAATGAACTCGAAAACCTGTACTAAAATTGTAATATACCTACCAAAACCTGTCAAAACATGATTTGACAAAAAGCTAGCTAAAACCTGAGAAAACTTGTTAAGATATCTAAGTTAGCGAGTCTTACAATCATGCTACTGATGATGAAATAAATCCAAAGGTTAAGAAATCAAACTATTACTATGAGATCAAAATATGCTGCTTATTGTTAAGATCTGACTTAAAACCAATTGGAAATAAGCGGAAAAACCCAACTTTATTATGTATAAGACACCAGTGAAGAATAAGAACCATTTAACAGACTCATTACATGTAGGTGGAGACAAAGGTGCCTGTTATGTGACAAACTCGAAAGGGGTAACGGGCACTGTAACATGCTATAACAATAGAATAGAGCCTGAGTTCTGACACTCTATTAAACATCTAACTTTAAACAATTGGAAATGTGTGGAGAGCTTCAAGTTGAATATATGACACCAATGTGGGATAACATCAGTTTAACACTTGTATTACTACTAATTGTTTTTTTTGTCCATTTTGATGCATAGACTTTATTTACTCACTATTTTTTTTAAAATTTCTTTTTGTAAGTAATTATAATTTCTTCAATCTAAATCTAATTAATTTATAAGATATACAACAACAACAACAACAACAAAACCCTATTCGCATATGCAATGGGGTAAGGGGGAGGTAGGGTAGTAGGCTGCCCCCAATGCCAGGTTGAGAGTAGCTTCCGTGGAAGACCTCCGGCAGTCAGAAAATAAAAAATAAAAATAAAATGCAATGCATGTATAAATAAATAAATAAATACATAGTTGAACAATCTTCATATGCAGTCTTCATATGCGCGTCTGTAATGGGAAGTAATCCCCCAAAAGTTATATACAGTGCTAAGATTAGCAGAAGTTCAACTTAATTTGATACCCAAAACTAAAATTAAAACCTTGATGACAATAAATCTGGGCTATTGTTCATCAATTAGTTCATCTAAGCTTTGAAAATTGCAGAAATTAGAGGTGAAAGAAGTAAAAGAAAGGAGACGAATGCAAAGAGAAAAGGAGGAAGAAATTGTAGGGAAAGAAAAGAGATCGGCGTAGATCTCAGCTGGATCTAAGCCGATGAAACCAAAGACGGAGATGTCAAAATCTTATGATTAAAGAATTTCTTTAGTTAAAATGAAAACACAAACTAAAATCTAGTTAAACAAGCAGACGAAATTTGTTGAATACGTGAGCACTGAGCTGAGAGGACGGACTATTCTTTCTCTCATAAAGTCAAACTAAAAAACAATTTATAAGATATGATATTATCTTATATATCTTGTATCATCCATGCATTCTGTAGTCAATAGTGTACAGAACTATCATGTTTACAAATCATCATTTGATATGAAAGCATGTCTGGTTCTAACATGGGATTCCTATATATTTATTTTGAACTGCAAAATTTCTCTCCTATGCATTTTCTCCATTTCTCTGCCCTTTCTGTTCTGACCAGTTGAGCACTTTCTATTTAGAACACTTCTAGAGGGTTTAAAATACTGCTTTATTTGGCATGCTGGTTAATGTAGAAAAGGTTCCATTGCCTGAAGGATTGTTGGAAATTTGTTATGTTTCTCTCAAAAGTTCCTTTTGCTGGCTTGAATATTATTACCAGGGCGACACGAATCACCATGGGGCCACTCTGGAGGCTTTAAAAGTTCTGATTTTCGTGCACCTGAGGTACAACATTTTTTTTCATTGATCCTCTCCTTTCACTTACTACACGGGAACTGTTCTTTATTTGCAATTAACTTTCAACTTGTGATGGTATTATTGATTATTAGAATATTTTCTTTCGCAGACTTCATATGATTGTGAAAACGCCAAGGAGTCTGAATCCCCCCGTTTTCAAGCTATTCTTCGACTTACAAGTGGGCCTCAGAAGAGGTTTCCTGCTGATATTAAGAGCTTTTCCCATGAATTAAATTCGAAAGGAGTGCGGCCTTTCCCATTTTGGAAACCTAAACGCTTAAACAACTTGGAGGTACTTTTATCCTATTTCTTGTTTCTTAGTTTCTTGCAGTTTGTATTCCTAACTAGATTTCTGTTTTATGCAGGAAATTGTGGTTGTCATTCGGGCAAAATTTGAAAAAGCGAAAGAGGAAGTGAACTCTGATTTGGCTATTTTTGCTGCAGATCTGGTTGGAATTCTCGAAAGAATTCTGAAAGTCATCCCGAGTGGCAGGAGTCCATTGAGGATTTGCTGATTCTGGCTCGACGCTGTGCTATGACACCACCTGGAGAGTTCTGGCTTCAGTGTGAAGGCATTGTTCAGGAGCTAGATGATAAGCGTCAAGAACATCCTCAAGGAATGCTGAAGCAGCTGTATACACGGATGCTTTTCATTCTCACAAGGTGTACAAGATTGTTGCAGTTCCACAAAGAAAGTGGGCTGGCTGAGGATGAACCTGTGATACAGCTTCGCCAATCTAGACTCCTGCATCCTGCAGACAAGAGAACTTCCTCAGGGCTCCTAAGAGAAGCTAAAAGTTTGAGTGTGTCAAAGGCTTCAAAAGCCTCCTCATCTAAGAAATCTTATAGTCAGGAGCAACATGCCTTAGATTGGAGGAAGGACCATGTTGTACTGCCAGGAAGTTTGATTGCTCCCATTGACGAAACTGAAAAGAACATGGAATCTTCTGTGAGCAGAGATAGGATAGCTTCCTGGAAGAAACTCCCGTCTCCTGCCAAAAAAAGTCCAAAGGAAGTAACTACTTCCATGGAGCAGAATAATAGAATGGTTGAAACCTGGAAAAAAACAAGAGCTTCTGATGTAGATCTGACTGCCGTTAAGCTTCAGGAGCCTACTCCTGCAAAAGAATCTCAAGAACATTCTTCTAAGCATCAGCACAAAGTTTCTTGGGGTTATTCGGTATACAAAGTATAATAACGATGATTGCCCTTGTAGACAAAGTAACCGACCTGAATCCCGAAGAGAAAATCTAATTCGATGATCCGAAGAAAATTGAGTCAAAGCGAGGCTTGAGGTTGTTTTTATCATATTTATTTTCATATTTGTATTCTTTATTTTCTTTATTTTTACTTTAAATAGTTTTTTCTTTATTTATTAATTAAAAAGAATGAATTTATTTTCAAATCAAAACCACAATTTTCAACGAGGTTGTCTGAGTTGCACAACCCGCCTACTGAAATCCAAAGACTTCTCCAATTTGATATGCACGCATTGAGAAGAAACTCTACCAACCGCTAACCCAGTGGTCCCTCTTTTGTAACAAAAAAAAAGACCATTAAAAGCAAAATGTTTATTTGTCCTCCTTAAATAAGAATTGTTCAAAAATAAAAAGAAATACCCATTAACAATCAAATCTAAATTGGGAAATCAAATAAAATATTATCATAAACAAAACAAATATAATCTGAAATTAATTGTACAATCACTAATACAATAAAATTAAATACATGTGAGATTATAAAAAAATAAAAATATATGTTTCTCATTTTTAATAATTTTTTTTAAAAAACTGAAAAATTAAATTTTAAACTAAAATAAATGTGAATAAATTTAAATTCGAACTAATTGTGGATCAAAATAAATATTTTAAACTTAAATCTAAAATATTAGTTGGACAAATAACATTGATGGCCTTGGGCGTGTAAAAGGCTGAGTAAATGGATTTTGCATATCCATAGTTCCGCTGGATGTCGCAGTCTCGTCTTTGTAGTTTCGGTTGAAGAGCTCCACAGCCCAATCACTCCAAATACTTAATTACTTTGTACAATTTCTCACGTGTTCAACTTCAACGCTTTCCTCTTTTCTTCCAACTACGAACTAAGCTTATTTCTCTTTTTATGAAAGAAGATGGCTAGAGTTGAAGGAAGAATCATTTAGCGGCGGTTCTGCCCTTCATCCATCCTTCCTTGTGCTCTAGGAAAGACGACGAAATGGTGTTCAAGAACAAGTTATTCTTCTCTTCTAAGAAATCTGCTTCTTCTAGTCCCGATGGATCCAACAGCCCTCGTTCCGCTTCCCATTCCCCGATCCGATCCGACAAGAAAAAACCCAAAGCTTCACTCTCCACCTCTGATTCCCAACAGATCCCCAATCCACCCTCCCCTTTCAGTCCCAAGCAAATCCAAGTCAAACCCAAAGGACCCCAAACCCCTGCTGCCAAGCCCTCTTCTTCTACCTCCAAGAAGCCCGATGCCAAGGACGGGCCTTCTTCCGTCTCGCCCCTGCTGGCCTCTTCCTTGGGGTTGAATCGGATAAAGACCCGATCCGGTCCCTTGCCCCAGGAGAGTTTTTTCAGTTTCAGAGGGGAGAAAAGTGCCTCTGCTTCAGTGCTTGGAGCTAGTAACTTGTCCAGGCCAGGAGGTTCAACTAGCGCTCGGGGCAGTGCTAACTCTGGGAAATCGGGTTCTGGGAAGAAAGTCGGGTTGAACCAGAGGTTACTGCAAGAAAGTTTGCTTGACAACGCGAGCAATTCGGATAGTATGTCAACTGGAAGTGCTAGTGCTGGGTGGCACTCTAGAGAGCAGAGCCCTAGTCTACAAGGGAAGTCCCAGTTGCAGAATGGGGAATCATCCTCCGGAGCTGGTACTGATCTTGCTCTGTCTCATTACTGTGCCTTTTCCCCCCGGAATATTTATTCTTTTCATTGTGCCTTTGATGACACTTTGGTGGCAGTACTATTGTTTCGTTGTTATTGTTTCTTTGCTTCCTCCATTCTGGGGCTTTGGTTTTGGATTTCGTTATTTAGTGATTGGTTGCTGAATAGAATGCTCAAAACAATCTTTTGCTTCCCAATGTTCGAACATTGTCAAAATTAGGTGATAAGCACCTAACCATTGAAGACAAGAGAAGAGCTGGTCTGTTTATGCCACTTAACGGTTTTGGATTCCCCAGTCTAAGATTTGGGTTACAGCTCTGAGGTTTTTGGCTTTGGCCATCATATAGGTATAACCGAAAAGGTAGGTAGAACGTCAAGGAAGCTTAAATTCGCCACGTAAATTTGTCACAAGATTTAAGAATTTTATTCTGCACTTTAATACAGATGTTTAAAAGAAAAAAAAGGTTAGAATTGGACTCCCTCTGTCCTTTTGATAAGAGAAGAGACAACGTGTGAGACAAAGAAGTTGCGTTATTTAGGGCATTGATCTGAAATGCTGTATAAAAGACATAGAGTGGATTAGGTTATAAGAATTACTTTTATCATACCTGTGTCTTGTGAGTTCTTGGATAGTTAGCATTTCACATGTAGCTGGCAAATGAGAAAAAGGAAAAATAGAGAATCAAGTTTAGTTCTTCAAGAAATAATCTGAGATTATGCAGTTACTTGAGCTGTCAGATTCCGAAATGGAAAAAAAGTATATGCTTAAATGTTTTCTGTTAAGTTTTATTTATGCTCTTCAATATTATTCTTTAAATTTTTGCTGAATTCTGAGGGAAAGAAAGGCATCTATTAATTTGAAAATGGATTTTTATAAATGTTCACTTCAGTTTGTACTTGGTAGATATCATTAGAGGTGGCAAAATGAACTCGAAAACCTGTACTAAAATTGTAATATACCTACCAAAACCTGTCAAAACATGATTTGACAAAAAGCTAGCTAAAACCTGAGAAAACTTGTTAAGATATCTAAGTTAGCGAGTCTTACAATCATGCTACTGATGATGAAATAAATCCAAAGGTTAAGAAATCAAACTATTACTATGAGATCAAAATATGCTGCTTATTGTTAAGATCTGACTTAAAACCAATTGGAAATAAGCGGAAAAACCCAACTTTATTATGTATAAGACACCAGTGAAGAATAAGAACCATTTAACAGACTCATTACATGTAGGTGGAGACAAAGGTGCCTGTTATGTGACAAACTCGAAAGGGGTAACGGGCACTGTAACATGCTATAACAATAGAATAGAGCCTGAGTTCTGACACTCTATTAAACATCTAACTTTAAACAATTGGAAATGTGTGGAGAGCTTCAAGTTGAATATATGACACCAATGTGGGATAACATCAGTTTAACACTTGTATTACTACTAATTGTTTTTTTTGTCCATTTTGATGCATAGACTTTATTTACTCACTATTTTTTTAAAATTTCTTTTTGTAAGTAATTATAATTTCTTCAATCTAAATCTAATTAATTTATAAGATATACAACAACAACAACAACAACAAAACCCTATTCGCATATGCAATGGGGTAAGGGGGAGGTAGGGTAGTAGGCTGCCCCCAATGCCAGGTTGAGAGTAGCTTCCGTGGAAGACCTCCGGCAGTCAGAAAATTAAAAATAAAAATAAAATGCAATGCATGTATAAATAAATAAATAAATACATAGTTGAACAATCTTCATATGCAGTCTTCATATGCGCGTCTGTAATGGGAAGTAATCCCCCAAAAGTTATATACAGTGCTAAGATTAGCAGAAGTTCAACTTAATTTGATACCCAAAACTAAAATTAAAACCTTGATGACAATAAATCTGGGCTATTGTTCATCAATTAGTTCATCTAAGCTTTGAAAATTGCAGAAATTAGAGGTGAAAGAAGTAAAAGAAAGGAGACGAATGCAAAGAGAAAAAGGAGGAAGAAATTGTAGGGAAAGAAAAGAGATCGGCGTAGATCTCAGCTGGATCTAAGCCGATGAAACCAAAGACGGAGATGTCAAAATCTTATGATTAAAGAATTTCTTTAGTTAAAATGAAAACACAAACTAAAATCTAGTTAAACAAGCAGACGAAATTTGTTGAATACGTGAGCACTGAGCTGAGAGGACGGACTATTCTTTCTCTCATAAAGTCAAACTAAAAAACAATTTATAAGATATGATATTATCTTATATATCTTGTATCATCCATGCATTCTGTAGTCAATAGTGTACAGAACTATCATGTTTACAAATCATCATTTGATATGAAAGCATGTCTGGTTCTAACATGGGATTCCTATATATTTATTTTGAACTGCAAAATTTCTCTCCTATGCATTTTCTCCATTTCTCTGCCCTTTCTGTTCTGACCAGTTGAGCACTTTCTATTTAGAACACTTCTAGAGGGTTTAAAATACTGCTTTATTTGGCATGCTGGTTAATGTAGAAAAGGTTCCATTGCCTGAAGGATTGTTGGAAATTTGTTATGTTTCTCTCAAAAGTTCCTTTTGCTGGCTTGAATATTATTACCAGGGCGACACGAATCACCATGGGGCCACTCTGGAGGCTTTAAAAGTTCTGATTTTCGTGCACCTGAGGTACAACATTTTTTTTCATTGATCCTCTCCTTTCACTTACTACACGGGAACTGTTCTTTATTTGCAATTAACTTTCAACTTGTGATGGTATTATTGATTATTAGAATATTTTCTTTCGCAGACTTCATATGATTGTGAAAACGCCAAGGAGTCTGAATCCCCCCGTTTTCAAGCTATTCTTCGACTTACAAGTGGGCCTCAGAAGAGGTTTCCTGCTGATATTAAGAGCTTTTCCCATGAATTAAATTCGAAAGGAGTGCGGCCTTTCCCATTTTGGAAACCTAAACGCTTAAACAACTTGGAGGTACTTTTATCCTATTTCTTGTTTCTTAGTTTCTTGCAGTTTGTATTCCTAACTAGATTTCTGTTTTATGCAGGAAATTGTGGTTGTCATTCGGGCAAAATTTGAAAAAGCGAAAGAGGAAGTGAACTCTGATTTGGCTATTTTTGCTGCAGATCTGGTTGGAATTCTCGAAAAGAATTCTGAAAGTCATCCCGAGTGGCAGGAGTCCATTGAGGATTTGCTGATTCTGGCTCGACGCTGTGCTATGACACCACCTGGAGAGTTCTGGCTTCAGTGTGAAGGCATTGTTCAGGAGCTAGATGATAAGCGTCAAGAACATCCTCAAGGAATGCTGAAGCAGCTGTATACACGGATGCTTTTCATTCTCACAAGGTGTACAAGATTGTTGCAGTTCCACAAAGAAAGTGGGCTGGCTGAGGATGAACCTGTGATACAGCTTCGCCAATCTAGACTCCTGCATCCTGCAGACAAGAGAACTTCCTCAGGGCTCCTAAGAGAAGCTAAAAGTTTGAGTGTGTCAAAGGCTTCAAAAGCCTCCTCATCTAAGAAATCTTATAGTCAGGAGCAACATGCCTTAGATTGGAGGAAGGACCATGTTGTACTGCCAGGAAGTTTGATTGCTCCCATTGACGAAACTGAAAAGAACATGGAATCTTCTGTGAGCAGAGATAGGATAGCTTCCTGGAAGAAACTCCCGTCTCCTGCCAAAAAAAGTCCAAAGGAAGTAACTACTTCCATGGAGCAGAATAATAGAATGGTTGAAACCTGGAAAAAAACAAGAGCTTCTGATGTAGATCTGACTGCCGTTAAGCTTCAGGAGCCTACTCCTGCAAAAGAATCTCAAGAACATTCTTCTAAGCATCAGCACAAAGTTTCTTGGGGTTATTCGGTATACAAAGTATAATAACGATGATTGCCCTTGTAGACAAAGTAACCGACCTGAATCCCGAAGAGAAAATCTAATTCGATGATCCGAAGAAAATTGAGTCAAAGCGAGGCTTGAGGTTGTTTTTATCATATTTATTTTCATATTTGTATTCTTTATTTTCTTTATTTTTACTTTAAATAGTTTTTTCTTTATTTATTAATTAAAAAGAATGAATTTATTTTCAAATCAAAACCACAATTTCAACGAGGTTGTCTGAGTTGCACAACCCGCCTACTGAAATCCAAAGACTTCTCCAATTTGATATGCACGCATTGAGAAGAAACTCTACCAACCGCTAACCCAGTGGTCCCTCTTTTGTAACAAAAAAAAAGACCATTAAAAGCAAAATGTTTATTTGTCCTCCTTAAATAAGAATTGTTCAAAAATAAAAAGAAATACCCATTAACAATCAAATCTAAATTGGGAAATCAAATAAAATATTATCATAAACAAAACAAAATAATCTGAAATTAATTGTACAATCACTAATACAATAAAATTAAATACATGTGAGATTATAAAAAATAAAAATATATGTTTCTCATTTTTAATAATTTTTTTTAAAAAACTGAAAAATTAAATTTTAAACTAAAATAAATGTGAATAAATTTAAATTCGAACTAATTGTGGATCAAAATAAATATTTTAAACTTAAATCTAAAATATTAGTTGGACAAATAACATTGATGGCCTTGGGCGTGTAAAAGGCTGAGTAAATGGATTTTGCATATCCATAGTTCCGCTGGATGTCGCAGTCTCGTCTTTGTAGTTTCGGTTGAAGAGCTCCACAGCCCAATCACTCCAAATACTTAATTACTTTGTACAATTTCTCACGTGTTCAACTTCAACGCTTTCCTCTTTTCTTCCAACTACGAACTAAGCTTATTTCTCTTTTTATGAAAGAAGATGGCTAGAGTTGAAGGAAGAATCATTTAGCGGCGGTTCTGCCCTTCATCCATCCTTCCTTGTGCTCTAGGAAAGACGACGAAATGGTGTTCAAGAACAAGTTATTCTTCTCTTCTAAGAAATCTGCTTCTTCTAGTCCCGATGGATCCAACAGCCCTCGTTCCGCTTCCCATTCCCCGATCCGATCCGACAAGAAAAACCCAAAGCTTCACTCTCCACCTCTGATTCCCAACAGATCCCCAATCCACCCTCCCCTTTCAGTCCCAAGCAAATCCAAGTCAAACCCAAAGGACCCCAAACCCCTGCTGCCAAGCCCTCTTCTTCTACCTCCAAGAAGCCCGATGCCAAGGACGGGCCTTCTTCCGTCTCGCCCCTGCTGGCCTCTTCCTTGGGGTTGAATCGGATAAAGACCCGATCCGGTCCCTTGCCCCAGGAGAGTTTTTTCAGTTTCAGAGGGGAGAAAAGTGCCTCTGCTTCAGTGCTTGGAGCTAGTAACTTGTCCAGGCCAGGAGGTTCAACTAGCGCTCGGGGCAGTGCTAACTCTGGGAAATCGGGTTCTGGGAAGAAAGTCGGGTTGAACCAGAGGTTACTGCAAGAAAGTTTGCTTGACAACGCGAGCAATTCGGATAGTATGTCAACTGGAAGTGCTAGTGCTGGGTGGCACTCTAGAGAGCAGAGCCCTAGTCTACAAGGGAAGTCCCAGTTGCAGAATGGGGAATCATCCTCCGGAGCTGGTACTGATCTTGCTCTGTCTCATTACTGTGCCTTTTCCCCCCGGAATATTTATTCTTTTCATTGTGCCTTTGATGACACTTTGGTGGCAGTACTATTGTTTCGTTGTTATTGTTTCTTTGCTTCCTCCATTCTGGGGCTTTGGTTTTGGATTTCGTTATTTAGTGATTGGTTGCTGAATAGAATGCTCAAAACAATCTTTTGCTTCCCAATGTTCGAACATTGTCAAAATTAGGTGATAAGCACCTAACCATTGAAGACAAGAGAAGAGCTGGTCTGTTTATGCCACTTAACGGTTTTGGATTCCCCAGTCTAAGATTTGGGTTACAGCTCTGAGGTTTTTGGCTTTGGCCATCATATAGGTATAACCGAAAAGGTAGGTAGAACGTCAAGGAAGCTTAAATTCGCCACGTAAATTTGTCACAAGATTTAAGAATTTTATTCTGCACTTTAATACAGATGTTTAAAAGAAAAAAAAGGTTAGAATTGGACTCCCTCTGTCCTTTTGATAAGAGAAGAGACAACGTGTGAGACAAAGAAGTTGCGTTATTTAGGGCATTGATCTGAAATGCTGTATAAAAGACATAGAGTGGATTAGGTTATAAGAATTACTTTTATCATACCTGTGTCTTGTGAGTTCTTGGATAGTTAGCATTTCACATGTAGCTGGCAAATGAGAAAAAGGAAAAATAGAGAATCAAGTTTAGTTCTTCAAGAAATAATCTGAGATTATGCAGTTACTTGAGCTGTCAGATTCCGAAATGGAAAAAAAGTATATGCTTAAATGTTTTCTGTTAAGTTTTATTTATGCTCTTCAATATTATTCTTTAAATTTTTGCTGAATTCTGAGGGAAAGAAAGGCATCTATTAATTTGAAAATGGATTTTTATAAATGTTCACTTCAGTTTGTACTTGGTAGATATCATTAGAGGTGGCAAAATGAACTCGAAAACCTGTACTAAAATTGTAATATACCTACCAAAACCTGTCAAAACATGATTTGACAAAAGCTAGCTAAAACCTGAGAAAACTTGTTAAGATATCTAAGTTAGCGAGTCTTACAATCATGCTACTGATGATGAAATAAATCCAAAGGTTAAGAAATCAAACTATTACTATGAGATCAAAATATGCTGCTTATTGTTAAGATCTGACTTAAAACCAATTGGAAATAAGCGGAAAAACCCAACTTTATTATGTATAAGACACCAGTGAAGAATAAGAACCATTTAACAGACTCATTACATGTAGGTGGAGACAAAGGTGCCTGTTATGTGACAAACTCGAAAGGGGTAACGGGCACTGTAACATGCTATAACAATAGAATAGAGCCTGAGTTCTGACACTCTATTAAACATCTAACTTTAAACAATTGGAAATGTGTGGAGAGCTTCAAGTTGAATATATGACACCAATGTGGGATAACATCAGTTTAACACTTGTATTACTACTAATTGTTTTTTTTGTCCATTTTGATGCATAGACTTTATTTACTCACTATTTTTTTTAAAATTTCTTTTTGTAAGTAATTATAATTTCTTCAATCTAAATCTAATTAATTTATAAGATATACAACAACAACAACAACAACAAAACCCTATTCGCATATGCAATGGGGTAAGGGGGAGGTAGGGTAGTAGGCTGCCCCCAATGCCAGGTTGAGAGTAGCTTCCGTGGAAGACCTCCGGCAGTCAGAAAATTAAAAATAAAATAAAATGCAATGCATGTATAAATAAATAAATAATACATAGTTGAACAATCTTCATATGCAGTCTTCATATGCGCGTCTGTAATGGGAAGTAATCCCCCAAAAGTTATATACAGTGCTAAGATTAGCAGAAGTTCAACTTAATTTGATACCCAAAACTAAAATTAAAACCTTGATGACAATAAATCTGGGCTATTGTTCATCAATTAGTTCATCTAAGCTTTGAAAATTGCAGAAATTAGAGGTGAAAGAAGTAAAAGAAAGGAGACGAATGCAAAGAGAAAAAGGAGGAAGAAATTGTAGGGAAAGAAAAGAGATCGGCGTAGATCTCAGCTGGATCTAAGCCGATGAAACCAAAGACGGAGATGTCAAAATCTTATGATTAAAGAATTTCTTTAGTTAAAATGAAAACACAAACTAAAATCTAGTTAAACAAGCAGACGAAATTTGTTGAATACGTGAGCACTGAGCTGAGAGGACGGACTATTCTTTCTCTCATAAAGTCAAACTAAAAAACAATTTATAAGATATGATATTATCTTATATATCTTGTATCATCCATGCATTCTGTAGTCAATAGTGTACAGAACTATCATGTTTACAAATCATCATTTGATATGAAAGCATGTCTGGTTCTAACATGGGATTCCTATATATTTATTTTGAACTGCAAAATTTCTCTCCTATGCATTTTCTCCATTTCTCTGCCCTTTCTGTTCTGACCAGTTGAGCACTTTCTATTTAGAACACTTCTAGAGGGTTTAAAATACTGCTTTATTTGGCATGCTGGTTAATGTAGAAAAGGTTCCATTGCCTGAAGGATTGTTGGAAATTTGTTATGTTTCTCTCAAAAGTTCCTTTTGCTGGCTTGAATATTATTACCAGGGCGACACGAATCACCATGGGGCCACTCTGGAGGCTTTAAAAGTTCTGATTTTCGTGCACCTGAGGTACAACATTTTTTTCATTGATCCTCTCCTTTCACTTACTACACGGGAACTGTTCTTTATTTGCAATTAACTTTCAACTTGTGATGGTATTATTGATTATTAGAATATTTTCTTTCGCAGACTTCATATGATTGTGAAAACGCCAAGGAGTCTGAATCCCCCCGTTTTCAAGCTATTCTTCGACTTACAAGTGGGCCTCAGAAGAGGTTTCCTGCTGATATTAAGAGCTTTTCCCATGAATTAAATTCGAAAGGAGTGCGGCCTTTCCCATTTTGGAAACCTAAACGCTTAAACAACTTGGAGGTACTTTTATCCTATTTCTTGTTTCTTAGTTTCTTGCAGTTTGTATTCCTAACTAGATTTCTGTTTTATGCAGGAAATTGTGGTTGTCATTCGGGCAAAATTTGAAAAAGCGAAAGAGGAAGTGAACTCTGATTTGGCTATTTTTGCTGCAGATCTGGTTGGAATTCTCGAAAAGAATTCTGAAAGTCATCCCGAGTGGCAGGAGTCCATTGAGGATTTGCTGATTCTGGCTCGACGCTGTGCTATGACACCACCTGGAGAGTTCTGGCTTCAGTGTGAAGGCATTGTTCAGGAGCTAGATGATAAGCGTCAAGAACATCCTCAAGGAATGCTGAAGCAGCTGTATACACGGATGCTTTTCATTCTCACAAGGTGTACAAGATTGTTGCAGTTCCACAAAGAAAGTGGGCTGGCTGAGGATGAACCTGTGATACAGCTTCGCCAATCTAGACTCCTGCATCCTGCAGACAAGAGAACTTCCTCAGGGCTCCTAAGAGAAGCTAAAAGTTTGAGTGTGTCAAAGGCTTCAAAAGCCTCCTCATCTAAGAAATCTTATAGTCAGGAGCAACATGCCTTAGATTGGAGGAAGGACCATGTTGTACTGCCAGGAAGTTTGATTGCTCCCATTGACGAAACTGAAAAGAACATGGAATCTTCTGTGAGCAGAGATAGGATAGCTTCCTGGAAGAAACTCCCGTCTCCTGCCAAAAAAAGTCCAAAGGAAGTAACTACTTCCATGGAGCAGAATAATAGAATGGTTGAAACCTGGAAAAAAACAAGAGCTTCTGATGTAGATCTGACTGCCGTTAAGCTTCAGGAGCCTACTCCTGCAAAAGAATCTCAAGAACATTCTTCTAAGCATCAGCACAAAGTTTCTTGGGGTTATTGGGGAGACCAACCGACTGGTTCTGAAGAAAATTCTATAATATGTCGCATTTGTGAGGAGGAGGTTCCCACCTCAAAAGTGGAAGATCACTCAAGAATATGTGCTGTTGCTGATCGTTGTGATCAGAAGGGCTTAGGTGTTGACGATCGCCTTGTAAGAATTGCTGAAATGCTTGAGAAGATGACAGACTTATTTGCTAATAAGGATATGCAACATTCAGGGAGCCCAGATGTTGCTAAACTATCAAATTCAAGTGTGACTGAGGAATCTGATGTTCTATCTCCTAAACTAAGTGACTGGTCCAGGAGAGGCTCAGAAGACATGCTTGATTGTTTTCCAGAAGTGGATGATTCAGTTCTTATGGATGACCTTAAGGGTTTGCCATCAATGTCATGTAAAACTCGCTTTGGTCCGAAATCTGATCAAGGAATGACAACATCATCTGCAGGAAGCATGACTCCTAGATCCCCTTTATTGACACCAAAAAATAGTCAGATAGACTTGTTATTGTCGGGCAAGGGTACCTTTTCTGAGCAAGAAGATCTCCCACAGGTATCCTTTTTCCAGTTTTTATTTCAGAAAGAGTTGCTTTAGTTTCTATGTACTGTTATATTTGCAATGCACCTGTATGCTCTTTTATATTTACTTCCAATTTCATAGTTTTTTCCTTTTAATTTTTCCTCCATACCCAGCTCTCCTCTCGTTTTGTCTTCTTCATTTTGGTTGTTTTGGTTTTCCTCATATGAAATGGAATGTTATTTTACTTTTTCTCTCTGTTGTGTTGTGATTTTGAAATCTGTTTCCAGTTAATTGTTGTAAATACAAGGCTGTCATGCACCTGCAGTAGACTGCCAAATTGTTGCTTATACAGAGAATGTATAGGAGTCACTCCATCATTACATATGCATTATATATCTGCTTTGAAGAGTGGATTTTTGTGGCCCTGAGGTGTTTCTTTTTAAGATCCAATTGAAAGTATAATCTTACTTTGGCTATGCCAAGTTTTAATTCCTTCCTGATCATGCAGATGAATGAACTTGCTGATATTGCCAGATGTGTAGCAAATACACCATCCGTTGATGATCGTTCTGTGCCATATTTGCTGTCTTGTCTTGAAGACTTGAAACTTGTCATAGATCGCAGAAAATTTGATGCGCTAACAGTAGAAACATTTGGTGCACGCATTGAGAAGCTTATCAGGTAATTTTGTTGCTGCTGCTTATTTTTGAGATTTATATAGAAAAAACACAATGCATAACCTTGAGCAAAAGGTTCTAGTTGAGTTTGTTTTGCTTTTCTTATTTGGTTATGATTTTTCTATTTTAGGGAGAAGTACTTGCAATTTTGTGAGCTAGTCGAGGATGAAAAGGTTGATATAACAAGCACTGTCATTGATGAGGATGCTCCTTTAGAGGATGATGTGGTTCGTAGTTTGAGGACTAGCCCTATTCATTCATCTAAGGACCGTACCTCCATAGATGACTTTGAGATAATAAAACCAATTAGTCGTGGAGCATTTGGACGTGTTTTCTTAGCAAAAAAGAGGACAACAGGGGATCTTTTTGCAATAAAGGTTCCAAAGTTCGATTTTCTTTCCCTAAGATCTTTTTTACTAATAAATATAACATTTAGTTATTTATATTTTATTCATTTATTTTAGATTGTATTAGTTCCCTATATGTCTCTTTTATGTTAAGGGCATTTCCCTTTTGGTTCTTATTGTGATTCCCCTCTTTATTTTCTGCTGTATCATGTTTTATCTTATATACTTATCATAATTTTTTTCTGTTAGTTTGTGACCGAGAGGTCACATGGAGTTAGGTTCAGTTAAAATTATGTTTATGTGTTGTTACAGGTGCTAAAGAAGGCAGATATGATTCGCAAGAATGCAGTTGAAAGTATATTAGCAGAGCGTGACATTTTGATTTCAGTCCGCAACCCATTTGTGGTGAGCAGGTCAAACTTGCCAAGAATTTACGGTTCTTTAGAACTTGATATGTTATTCTTACTTCTATGTGCTGTATACTATCAGGTTCGCTTTTTCTATTCATTTACATGCCGTGAAAACTTGTACCTTGTGATGGAGTATTTAAATGGAGGTGATTTATATTCATTGTTAAGAAATTTGGGCTGTTTGGATGAAGAGGTTACCCGTGTATACATTGCAGAACTTGTAAGTTTTAGATTCATTTATTACAAGGAATATATACCTTTTCTTATGTTAGTTGAATTCTTCTGTTCAGTTATATAAAGATATACATATTTTTATAGGTGCTCGCCTTGGAGTATTTACATTCTTTGCACGTGGTTCATCGTGATTTGAAGCCTGATAATTTGTTGATTGCACATGATGGTCATATCAAGGTAACTGTTCATATGAGATTGTTTCCGTTGTTTTGACGAATATAAGATGTACATTGCTTGGTCATTTTTCAGTAATTCTAAAGATGAAGTGTAGGTTTTATACTATTGGCTAAGTTGGGGAAAAGACCCTATTGGCTGATTATTGAAAGTGATTGCAAGTCAGCAGTGGATTGGATTAAAGCTCCTTCGGTTCCTATTTTTCTTACAAATCTAGTTAAGGAAATTGTGTCTATTGTTTTTTTATAGGAATTGAAGGCCTCGTTAAAAACCCCTTCTTAATTAAAGGAGCTTGTAGAGAAGCTCTTTAATCAGCGGAAGGAGGAAAAGAGTGCCTAAAGATTTCATTAACCAAAAGAAATTACATAGAGTGCCTAAAGATTTCATTAACCAAAAGAAATTACATAAGATACAACCAGATAAACACTCCCAACATAACCAAAAAACCAAAAAAGAACCGAAGACAACCCTATACAACATAACTAGCTCAGCCTAAACCATCTAAGCTACTAACAAAGTATAAATTTTGGTTGAGCTATTAACCAATCTAGCAACAACAATGAAGACTTAACGCCTAAACATTTCCTGGAATACAACATAAAACAATACAACCAAATGCCTGAAACAATCAACCAATCCCCTCCTTAGCTAACTTGTCTGCCTCCATATTACAAAACCTAGGAAAAAACTCCAGCAAAGTTGGAGGGCCTGGATCTGTAGATACTATGAAAGAACCCATCATCTTGCCAGCCTCAATATCAACTGACTCATTCCAAAGAAACCAAATTCTAACACAAAAGCCATGAGCTTCCACAGTATAAGAGTACAAAAAGCTAGCTTCGAAATCACTCTATCCACCTTTCTACCACTTATTGTTCGTCTTGTCAACGGAGACCATCCGAACCTCCAACTTCATTCCATAATCAAATGTGAATCACTTGAAACTTCCAATTCTTCCACTGCTATAGTTTTCTGAAATCAAAAACCCTTGTGAGCCTTCAAGTTCAGTCCATTCTTCCTCGCGTTGCACCTTCTTCTGATTAATCTTGCTTCGGCAGAGTCTAGTCTTCCTATGGGGAACCGAATATTTCTCTTCAATTATTTGGAGAGCGCTATATTTATTGTTAATCCCCTCCTTAGCTCTCTGGTTCTGCCTGGAATTATGCGAGAAAGAAATGTCCCTCAATTGTGTTGACAAGCCAAGGCTCTGGTCCAAATCCTCACATACTATCCCCGATTTGGGTTTTCCAACCACCCGTTCAACCACAACCCCATCCTGTTGGACTTCCTCTCCCTTGGATCTTATGATAGCACAATTATTTGTAAGGCCCATATTAATCACATCCTCCACCTCCTTTGACTCTAAACGACCATCCAAGATGGGCAAATCTATTAAATTATCCTTCATCCCCTCATTAACACGTGCAGTCTTACCAAATTTCCTGTTGTTATATTCTACCTCTCACCACGTGATTCAGCATTACCTCGTGTTCCACCGTTTCCAGCACTTCCTCATGTTCCACCACTTCCTCGATTTGCGTTTGAACCTTCCCCTGACCAACAACATTATTCCTCGGACCCATAATTATTTCCTTCCCTATGTTCCTTTCCTCCTCATCCTCACCCGACAAGTTGCTAACTTTAGCTCTGTACCCCATACATAATAATTAACTGTCTTCTTCCTTAGAACACCTCTCGGAATTCTTCTCCTCCGATGAGTCCACGTTTCTTCCTACCAGTGAATCAGAATCGACTACAATCGCACCTTCTTTTTCTTCCCGCTTTCGAAACAAAGAATGCCTTCTAACTGTGGGAACTTCCACTACTCTAATTCTAAATAAATCTCTACCTGCTTCCAAGTCTACCACTTCATCAATTAATTCTTTCCTAGTAGTTGCTATCAGAATAGTCATCTCCTCGCAACCCAATTCTTGAAGTGCGTTTTCTCCCAACGCTAAGCATTCTCCCCATTGTTGTGCAATCCTCTTTCTGAAGCTTTGTAAGATTCTGACCAAGGTTGAACTTCCTGGAAAACTTCATTTAAAAGCGACCAGTTCTGCTCCTTCAAGGTTCTGTATAACTCTTCCTCAGCTATTTGCAATAAGAAATCTCTCCCTCCCAGGAACTTGGTCTTAATATCTCCTAGACCACCAGCTTGTAATTTGTCATCCACCTGACTCGAAGAGCATGTCGTCGTCATCGTTCCTACGAGGCACTTCTGGAGCTTTCGAACAACTTCCTCATCTACATCCCCCTGAATTAACCTAGTCCTCCTTCTTGCAAGTTCCTCCGGACTTTCTCCACTAACGCTTGTTCCTTGTTCTACCCTGGTTGTAGCACTGGAAGTTGAAGGATATTTCAGTTTCCAGATTTGATTCTTGGCTCCATACCGAGCTTCTTTGACTGATAACCGATATCCAAATAACCAGAATCCATTTAATCTTTGGACTGCTCTAACTGAGTCACCTCTATTGGAAAATCTAACAAAGCCAAAGCGCTTTCCTGTTCTATCATTTTTCCTTGCTATATAAGAACTAATCACATCACCATGCCTCCCGAATAGATGTCTCAACCCACTCCAATGATATGTAGGCGGTATGTTTTGCACAAACAAAGTTACTATCTCACCTTCCTTCCTTGAGCTTTGAGCCATCCGTCCTAACTTTTGTCCCTCAAAAGAGCAATCCGGGAATGCTCTCAATAAATTAGCAGCAGAAAACAGTAATCTGAAATAACACCAGTTGAGCCCAAACAGACAGATTTAGAGCAATGGTCGGATAATTTGTAGCACCCCCGGTAATGTCAAAGAACCTAGTAACGTAGGAACAACCTGGTCGACGCAGAACGACGGCTGAACAACAGTAGACGGTGGAACAATAACAGTTTCTGGAAATTACGAAACAGTAAAAATCAAAATCCCGAAGAACAGCAACGGTTCTCAACTCAAGGATAGGTGGGTTTTGGTCGCCAAATGACGCAGAGCTTGGTGGTGTGGCTGTGTCGAAACGGACGGCGGTTGGCGGCGAAAATCGGCAGTGAAGAAAGTATAGATCTACACCGATTGGAAGACTTCATCGCAAATCTAAGCCCAGATTTGGAATCTCCATAAGCAGACGAGCTTCCCTGAGAAAAATGGCGTCGAAAGGAGATCGGAGTGCGGTTGCGGACGGCGGTCGGGGGCGGCGGACAGTGGTCGGCGAACGGTGATGGTGGACGAAGAACGGTGGAAAGTGGATAGTTGACGACTGATGGCAGTGGTCAAGGTTGTGGATGGGTTGAGCGTTCAGTCATACCCACGTGACTTTTTTTAAAAACTGGAATCTAGAGAGAAGAGGGACATTCTAATGTCTATTGTTTCAGATAAAGAGAATATTCTGAGGTTGATACCTAGGTGTTGTAATTGCGAGGCTGATAAGCTAGCAAAGAAGGGGATTGGGTGATTGTAACCTTTGTATTTGGTTGTTTTGTGTGTTTTAGAGAACAGTTGTAATAGGAGTTTGTTTAAGTCTTATGTGATCGGTTTATCAATAATATATTGAGGTACTCTTTTCCTCCTTCCGCTGGGCGGTTCTTGCCTTAGGGTAAAGGACTACTATGAGGGAGGTTTTTAATGAGGCCTCCTATTTCTATAAAAAAAAAATTGCAGGTTGGATGTGATTTAATTGAGGGTCAGGGGACGACCTATGTTTATTCTGCCAGCTGTTAGTTTCTTAAGCAAAATGAAGATACTTTAAAAAAATGTGATGTTGAGATTATTTATTCTGTACCTAATTTATTTATATATACTAAAGAAAAACAAAACTTGTTCAGAATAAATCGTGTTTATTTCTGCTGAATATGGCTGACTTAAATAGAGTTTACAATGTAACAACTTTACATAAAAAGATGCATAAAATTAGCAACATAATAAAAATGATTCTATCTAATTAAAAATGATCCTATCTAATAACTAATAGAATAAAAAACTGATTCTATCTAATTAAAAATGATCCTATCTAATAACTAATAGAATAAAAACTGATTCTATCTAATTAAAACTGATCCTATCTAATATTTAATTTAGATATTCTCGACACCCCCCCTCAAGCTGGAGAATAGATATCGATCATTCCCAGCTTGGACAGAAATCCTTCGAACATCGTAGTAAACAGTCCCTTGGTGAGAACATCGGCGAGCTGCTCTGATGATGGAACAAACGGTATGCAGATATCGCCATTTTCCAGCCTCTCCTTGATGAAATGTCGATCTATTTCGACATGTTTGGTCCTGTCATGCTGTACAGGATTCTGAGCAATACTGATTGCCGATTTGTTGTCGCAATACAACTTCATCGGTTTATCTCTTTCAACCTTCAGCTCCTCTAAGATCCTCCTAAGCCATAACAACTCACATACTCCTTGCGCCATGGCTCTGAACTCGGCCTCCGCACTGCTTCTAGAGACAACTGGTTGCTTCTTGCTCCTCCAAGTAACTAAGTTGCCCCAGACAAAGGAGCAATAACCGGTAGTAGATCTTCTGTCTGTAGAACTTCCGCCCCAATCAGCATCAGTGAAGATCTCCACTCTTCGACTTCCATTCTTCGAAAACATGATTCCTTTACCAGGACTCCCTTTCAAGTAATGAAGAATCCGATAAACAGCTTTGGAGTGTTTTTCTGAGGGACAATGCATAAACTGACTAACCAAGCTCACAGCAAATGCAATATCTGGTCTCGTATGAGCCAAATAAATCAATTTCCCTACCAGTTTCTGATACCGATTCTTGTTCACAGGCTCAGCACCATCTTCTTTTTCGAGTTTTTGATTCGGATCAATAGGAGTCGCCACTGGTTTACATCCGAGTAATCCGGTCTCTTTCAAGATATCGAGGACATATTTCCTTTGCGAGATAATTATACCTTTTGAGGATCTAGCCACCTCCATTCCAAGGAAATACTTGAGTTGTCCTAGATCCTTGACTTCAAACTGGTTGGATAAGAAGTTCTTCAACGACTCCAACTCTACTGTGTCATCTCCTGTCATAACAATGTCATCTACATACACAATTAAAATAGCAATTTTACCATTATTGTGTTTGTAGAACATAGTATGATCAGACTGGGCCTGAGTGTAACCATGTTGTTTCACAGCTCTCGTGAATCTCTCGAACCAGGCTCTCGGAGATTGTTTCAATCCATAAATGGATTTCTTTAGCTTGCAGACCCTGCCATCCTTCTTCAATTCATCAAAGCCTGGAGGAACTTCCATAAACACCTCTTCCTCTAGCTCACCGTTTAGGAACGCATTCTTCACATCAAACTGTCTGAGAGTCCAATCCAGATTGGCGGCTAGTGAGAGTAGGACACGTACGGTGTTTAGTTTGGCCACAGGTGCGAAGGTCTCCTCGTAGTCAAGGCCGTATGTCTGAGTGAAGCCTCGTGCTACGAGTCTTGCCTTGTATCTCTCGACCGAGCCATCTGCATGGTATTTGATGGTTAACACCCACTTGCTGCCTACATATTGTTTCCCCTCAGGTAAAGGAGTTAGATCCCACGTGTCATTCTTCTTCAGGGCCTTTAACTCCTCAAAAACTGCCTCTCTCCATCTCGGAACTTCTAGAGCTTCATGTATCGACTTAGGTAGTACATCATCCATAATCCTGGTGGAAAAAGCTTTGAAATCTGGAGAGAGTTTATTATAAGATAAGAAATTGGATATTGGATGTTTTGTGGTACATGATCTAACACCTTTGCGCAAGGCTATGGGTTCAAAGAATTCTGTAGAAGGCTCTAAATTTGGAGAAGAAATAGGAGAAAGAGAAGTCGTACCTTGGACCATAGTCGAGTCCGATGGTTGACATACCTTGGGGACCGGTGGAACATTATTTGGTCGAGTCATCCGTCTAGAATAAACACGAAGTTCAGTAGGTGGTTCCAAGTTGGTTTCTACCTGAGTCTCACGAGGTTGTGAATTTATAGGTTGTGAAATCCTAGGATTAGTTACGGAAATATGAATTGGTTCCACTGAGCTATTTACAACCAATTTTGGCAAGGATGTTTGTTCCCAAAAACTCATTTCAGAGTCATTCTCCCCCGGAAGGGAGTTTTTGTCAAAAAAAGGTTGTTTTTCAAAAAAAGTGACATCCATACTCACATAATACTTCCCAGATTTAGGATCAAAGCATTTATACCATTTTTGTGTTGGTGAAAAACCTAGAAATATGCATTTATGTGCTCGGGGATCGAGTTTTCCTCTATTTTGGCCGTGTATATGAACAAAAGCAATGCAACCAAAAATTTTAGGTGTTAAATCAGTGAAAGATCTATTTTCAGGAAACATATTCTTTAGAGCTTGCAAAGGAGTAATATAATTAAGAACTCTTGTAGGCATTCGATTTATCAAATAAGACGCTGTTAAGAGTGCTTCATTCCAAAAACGATTAGAAACATTCATAGCAAACAGTAAAGCCCTAGTCACCTCTAATAAATGCCTATTTTTTCTTTCAGCAACTCCATTTTGTTGGGGAGTATCAATGCAAGAACTGTGATGAATAATTCCTTTTTGTTTCAAAAAATCACCTAAGATTGCATTAAAACATTCTCGACCATTATCGGTTCTAAGAACTTGAATATTTGCTTGAAACTGAGTATTGATCAGTGAGTGAAAATTTTTGAAAGCACTTGCTGCCTCGGATTTTTGTTTTAGTAAATAAATCCACGTGACTCTAGTGTGATCATCAATGAATGTGATGAACCATCTAGATCCTGAGGCTGTTTTTACTCGTGAAGGGCCCCAAATATCACTATGCACAAGAGAAAAAGGTTTTGATGACATATACTTTAAAGATGGATAAACAGATCTATGATGTTTTGCCAATTCACAAGCTTCACACTGAAAAGAAAAACCGTCCCTTTTTTTGAAAAGATTTGGAAACAAATATTTCAAATAATTAAAACTAGGATGGCCTAACCTATAATGCCACAACATTATTTCATTCTCACAAGACAAGGTAGTAAAGCATCTCGGTTTCTGAACTTGTTTATTTGAAGGATTGTCCGTGACCAAGTGATAAAGTCCATCAACCTCCTTAGCATTGCCAATCATCTTCCCCGAACAAGGGTCCTGAAATTCAAATCCAGCAAATGTTATTGTAGCAATGCATTTGCAATCATGAATAATACGATTAACAGAGATGAGATTGCAAGAGAGCTTTGGGACATGTAGGACATTTAGTAATGTGAGAGATGGAGAAATAATGATAGAGTCTTTTCCAGCTATAGAGGTTAGGGAGCCATCAGCAATTTTTACCTTCAGATTACCAAATAAAGGAAAATAAGATGAGAATATGGAGGAATTACCGGTCATGTGATCTGTTGCCCCTGAATCTATGATCCAAGGGTTTGATTTAGAACCGGCTATGAAAGCTGTAGGATATGTACCTTTCTGGGCTAATGATGAAGAGGCAATATAAGATGATGGGTTAGGAGTGTTGGATATGGAATGAGAACTCATTAGTTGATACAATTGCTCTAGCTGTTCTTTGCTGAAGGCAGACAGTTCTGAGGCAGGTTTCGGCTCTTCAGAAGCATCTTCAGATGAGGCATGGAATCCCTTTGCATTACGAGAATTTCGATTGGCTGAAAAATTCTCGGCTGGCTTCTCGTGTAGCTTCCAACACTTGGCTTTAGTGTGTAGTGTGTCCCGGCTTGTTGCAGTGCTCACAGATTGGCCGATCTCTGTCGTTCCGACGATCGTTGCGACGTGGTGGCTGACCCGAGAACAAGGCAGAAGACTCGGTGGGATTTGGTGAGTGGCCTCCAAGCATGACTGTCCGCCGGCTCTCCTCTCGTCTGACTTCGGAGAAGACTTCTCTTGTGCTTTGTAGTGGTTCACGACCAAGGATGCGCCCTCTGACTTCATCCAATTCCTTGTTAAGGCCGACAAGGAATTCGAAGACGCGTTCTTTTTCCACCATCTTCTGGAATAGAGCCCTGTCCTTAGCACAACTCTATTCATAGTCGCTGAACATGTCAACCTCTTGCCACAAGGTCTTGAGTTCAGTGTAGTATTGAGTGACAGTTTTTTCTCCTTGTTTTAGCCTCCATAATCGAGTTTTTAGTTCAAACCATTGTCCTGCGTTCCCGAGATCAGAATAGGTCTCGTTCACAGCATTCCAAATGTCATGAGCAGTAGGTAGGAAGAGATAAGTTCTCCCTACACTCGGATCCATGGAATTTATGAGCCAAGACATAATCATCGAGTTTTCTGCCTCCCATCTTTCAGATTCTTCTTCTTCGGCAGGTTTCGTAGTGATACCTGAGAGATAGCCGAATTTTCCACGGCCACGAATAAACAGTTTCACAGATTGTGACCACTGTAAGAAATTATTTCCATTCAACTTGTGAGAAGTGATGGATATGTTTTGGAAGGATTCAGTGTTTAGGGTGATTGAAGGTGAGCGAGTAGAACTCATAGAGTCGATACCAGAGGTATCATCGTAGAATTTGGCCATTTTGGCTCTGACACCATAAAGAAAAACAAAACTTGTTCAGAATAAATCGTGTTTATTTCTGCTGAATATGGCTGACTTAAATAGAGTTTACAATGTAACAACTTTACATAAAAAGATGCATAAAATTAGCAACATAATAAAAATGATTCTATCTAATTAAAAATGATCCTATCTAATAACTAATAGAATAAAAAACTGATTCTATCTAATTAAAAATGATCCTATCTAATAACTAATAGAATAAAAACTGATTCTATCTAATATTTAATTTAGATATTCTCGACATATACCATTTAAAACTTACAATAATTTTTTTTCCTTTGAGCAGTTGACAGATTTTGGGCTATCAAAAGTTGGTCTCATCAACAGTACTGATGATTTGTCTGGTCCAGCAGTTAGCGGAACATCTCTACTTGATGATGAGCAGCCTCAGTTATGTGCATCTGAGCATCAGCATGAGAGGCGGAAGAAACGTTCTGCTGTTGGTACACCTGACTATTTGGCGCCTGAGATTCTTTTGGGAACAGGACATGGTTCGTATAACCTTTTTTTAGTTTAAGGTTCTCTAATTATCTTTTCGTTACCTGTGTGCCTTAAAGATCAAATTTGATTCGTTTGGTTAACCTGAAAATTTCTATATACCAGATGCTTAAGCAATGTAGATTCAAATTATTTAGTTGACTAATTGATTTTATTACTGATATCCTGGTTATAATTAGCTCGAAATCCATGGTAGCTGAATAAGTTCAACATATTTGTTTGTATTTGGTTAGTATTTGCATTTCTTCTCTGGTTGAACATGTTCTAAAGTAGCAAGCTCATAACACCATCCAATTTTTCTCAGGTGCAACCGCAGATTGGTGGTCCGTAGGTGTCATTTTATTTGAAATGATTGTTGGCATTCCACCTTTCAATGCAGAGCATCCACTGGTAATATCTTGATTCTATGAGTTCTAGTTCTTGCCAGTACCACTCCCTTTGACTTGTGATGCAATTTTATTTCCCTTCTTCCTTCTCAAATTCAATCATTTCTTTGACTGGCATTCAATGACAACTTTCAATGATGTTTTTACCTTCATAATTTCGTTTTGGTAATGCATGAATTGGATGACATAAGCCATCGTTCAGTTGTTTTTGTGGCAGTGTTATAAACTGCTGACAGTTTAAGGAGTACAATGGTTCTTTTCTAAAATATTGGACAATCAAGGTGTATCTTCTGTTTAATTGAGTGAAAACTGCATGGCTATCCTGTTAGATTTTCCCACTTCCTGTTAATTTTGGGACTCTGGACTCGAGACGTGTGGGAAACCTGATACTTCTTAAAAAGAAAAGATAATCATTTGGTTGAAAAAGCAGGGATACTTGGATACTCTAATGATGATTCCATTTGATGGGTTTCTTTTAAGTTTTTGAAGATTGTTACTGTTGGAGTGCTTCTAAATTATTAGTGTGCACGTGTGGAAACTTTTGTGTGGCAACTTGCTCATCATAGAGTGGCGGTTAAGGAGGAACTGCTGAAGAGAGGAGTAACTGGGATTGAAGACACCATATGTCCATTGTGCAGGAAGTGTAATGAGTCAGTCTCACATCTGTTTCTGCACTGTGATGTGGTGTGGGATCTGTGGTCTAAATTCTTAAAGTTCTGGAATGTTTCCTTTGTAGTTCCTGAGAATTTGATGGATTTTTTAATTTAGTGGGATGTTCTAGTACCGAGCTCCAATATATGGAGATTCATTCCAAGGGCTGTACTGTGGTCGATTTGGAAATGTAGGAATGAGGTGATTTTTCAGAAAGGGAAGGTGGATACTGCTCTGTTGTTCTTTATTGCACGATTTAGAACTGTTTCTTGGTTTGGAGCTACTTTTAAGGATGTTCTTATTCCTTTTGACTCATTGGTGGGGGATTTAAAATGAGCAGATTTGACAGGCAGTCGGAAAATGAGGTCTTCTCCTTCATCTAGGTGGATTCCCCCTCCGGAGGAGTTCTTAAAAGTTAATGTAGATGGTGCGATGGTCAAGGGATGGAATAAGGGAGGAATAGGGGGATTGATTAGGGATGGCAGAGGTATGTTGCTCGGGTCGTTTTCAGAGAAGGTTGGGGGAGATCCTCCTTTACTTGCAAAGTTGTTGGTGATTAAAAGAGGGTTGATTCTTATTGAGGAAGTAGATTATATTCCAAGTCTGAGAGTTATATTGGAATCGGATTCTACTAATGCGTTGAAGTGGATTAAAAATCCGAACCTAAGTACTCCTATGTTTCAGTCCTTGGTGAGGGATATAGCTACTAGGGTGGAACGAAAGGGCATTATCATCAGGCATGTTACGAGAGCTGCAAATTGGGAAGCGGATGAGTTAGCTAAAGCTGGTATAGGTTGAGTGTTTAGGTTTTCTGTAGTGGTTAAAGGTGATGATGAGCTTTGGTTGTTCTTCTTAAGGGAAACTTGGGTCATGTGTTATGTAATCAGTGTCATGTCTTAAGGTTATGTTGTAAGCAGTTAGAGGTTTAGGTGTGGAGGTGTTTTATTGTTCACATTAATGAAAGTTAGAGGCACTCTTTTCCTCCTTCCTATGTCCTTCATGTTACGATTGTAACATGTAGGATATGAAGGGGTTTTTTAATGAGGCCTAATATTCTATCAAAAAAATTATTAGTGTGCCATTGACTTTGAAATTGCATTTTAAATTAGTTCTCATTCTTACATTCATTCTCTTTCATATTTTTGTTCTAGATAATATTTGATAATATTCTCAACCGTAAAATACCTTGGCCACGGGCACCAGAAGAAATAAGCCTGGAAGCAAAAGATCTAATTGATGGGTAAGAATTTCGTTGATGTCATTGGCATTTCATGAGAATTGGATTCATGTTGAAATCAATTACAGTTGTAATGCAAGAAAGCACGTGCCCAAGTGTTCTGTATTTGCTTTATTGCTTTACTCAAGAGAGGTTTCAGTCCTATAGATTGAAAAAATAAATCCATGTACTTTGTTGATTTTCTGTGTAATCTAAATATTTCCTCGTCAAAAAAGTGAAAGAAACATTCTAGAACATCAAGGTATGTAGATCTTACAGTGTTTTCACATCTTCATATGTAAAGTATCCTGTGTATTCTTATCAAAAAAAAAGTATCCTGTGTATATAGCACCATTAATGCTCGTTTTATATTAAAAAGTAAAATATAAAAGAAAAAAAAGTTGAGTGTTATTGGTTGGTGGCAAAATGATATCGATATCCTTAGCTTTAGTATTTTCTCAATAAGATATACTCTGCATTGAGATGTTTAACCAAGGTTTCTTCAAAATCACTATTTTCAAATTTAAGTATCCCAAGAAGTAATGCTCTTTTTTTTGTATTTTTCTTGGTTTAAGTGCCTCTATGGAATTAAATTTTATTAATGTATTCCATTTTCAGACTGTTGACTGAAGATCCTCATCAGAGGCTTGGATCCAGAGGAGCTTCCGAGGTGATATTTGTTCTTAATACGAGTACAACCTTTGGTTGTTTTGTTTTCCTTTTCTTTATACTTCTGGGTGCACGATTTTCTTAATTGCTTCTCTTAGATGTTTGATTCATGACCGATGAAATTTTTAACCAGGTGAAGCAGCATGTATTTTTCAAAGATATCAATTGGGACACACTTGCAAGGCAGAAGGTGAGAATGTGTTTTCCATAAATTATAAAATTCTGAGCCATATTATTGTTTCCATGTGTCTTCCATTTTCTCACCTTGCTTCCCACATTCTACAGGCTGCCTTTGTTCCCAGTTCAGAGAGTGCTCTTGATACTAGTTACTTTACAAGTCGTTACTCATGGAATACTTCAAATGAGCATGCATATCCTGGTAGTGAATTTGATGATTCGAGTGATGTTGACAGCTTAAGTGGTAGTAGTAGTTGCCTGAGCAACCGCCAAGAGGAAGTGGTATTTTAGCCCAGAAATGTTCAACTTCTTAAGTGATGATTAAGATTATCAATGATTTTTGTTCTTGACTTTCTGTTGATCTGTTGGCCACAAATGAAGCAGGGAGATGAATTTGGAGGTCTTGCTGAATTTGAGTCCGGTTCATCTGTCAATTATTCTTTCAGTAATTTCTCATTTAAGGTATTCTTTTACCTTGTAATTGTATCGGGTATTTCTTTCAGTTTGAATATAAGTGCATCAGTTTGCATTTTATAAAATAATTTACCCCCTCCTTTTTGGTTTTTTATTATACCAATCTTGCCTTCATCCAAGTTGTTTGTATACATAAGTATAAGAATACTTGGTTTGCGGAACTCTTTAAATTTTGTATGCAACAACTAACAACATATCCTTTTCTGCAACATGGCATTGTAGTCATGGTGTTGATTTGAAATAGCTCGGTGATCTGTGTCAATGACCAGTTGGGACATATCGCTTGATGGTTATAGTAATTTGTTTTCTTGATCCTGACTGTGTTTATCCATGTGGTTTGGTAGAATCTGTCCCAGCTGGCATCAATTAACTATGATCTGCTTTCTAAAGGGTGGAAGGACGATCATCCAGCGAATTCTAATGCATAGGAAGATCCTCATTTTTCGGGAGAGCTTGGGATGTTTGTTTTAGACATTGATGTGTTGGTTGTATACCCTGTACATGTATGTTATTTCAATCTTGTTTTATTTCATTTGCTTTTACTGTGGGTTGTGCAAATATTATTAAGTAAATTGATGAGGTGTTTGTTCACCAATGCAGAGATAGAAGAAAACTTGGGATTGAAACTGCTGCTTGGGGAAGTAAAAGGCTCCATCTACACGGGGGATTTGAAATTATTAGTTGAGCAGCTGCTTTTGACTTCTGAGAACCTTTAATGTAAAACCCTACTTTAAAAGCTGCAGTTTGAGTTATGGGGCTCCCTTTATTTTTATTGTTATCTCTAGCCTTTCACTCTTAAACATCAGCAATGAAATCACATCCCATTTTATTTTGGAGAGTTTAAACAAAGCAGCGTGGCTGTTTGTGTTGTAAGAGCAGTCCAATTGCTTGCCGACTCTGAGAACATTATTATCTTATGGTATCTGAATGAAGGGAATAATATAAGTGGTTTGGTTTTACTGTTGAAACAAATATTCAATGCAGTAGTATTTGTGTGGTCACAAGACGAATGCCTCCATTCTCTTTTACATAACTATTATGTGGCTAAACTTGGTTCATGGGAGATAAACAAGCACTCTCAACTCACATAGAAGCTAAAGGAAAAAAGAATGCGTCGGTGGTTTTCGCAGCCTCAGGAGGTATAATTTAAAATACACAACCGACAAAAGCCTCACAAATGCTAAACACTATTATCTCCTTACCAAGGCCGTAGTGGGCCTTCATACACAGTGAGTCTCAAACCCATAGTTTTAACAAGTCAACCCGATAACCCCTTTTAAGGACTGGATAACGTTCCCTGCTGTAACTATATCCTCACCAATGGCGATGTCTTCTCACCTTTTAAACGTCGTCCCCATTGAAGGTGCTCTCTCTCTACCCTCCCTTTACTTCTAGGGAATTCTCCAATCTTCATTCATTTCCTTTTTTTTTTTATAATTTCAGGATCTGTACGACCACCTCTGACATTGAAGAGCAAGAAATTTGTTTTCACTGTTGGTACCGACACTCGTTATTCTTCTGGAGCTTTTCGTTTCCAAGCATGCATTTCAATTATGTTGTTTGGGAAGTTAGTTTAATCGGGTCAAAGCATGTAAATACAAATCTAATTTTTTCATTTGGGGTTAAACTTCCAGCACTCATGTTTCTAGCTCCTTTATTGTTTAATTTCCTGCACTTGAGTTCGCCACTCATGTTTCTAGTTCCTTTATTTATTTATCTTTGACAGGAAAGATTCAGATACGGTAGCAGGAAATGTTCACACATAACCCATCGAGCCTCACGGTGCAGCAGCACATATTGCTGCCTGGGTCTTACAAATTCCGCTATTGAGCTCTTGCAATCCAAGGTAACCATTTTAAGGGAGGAACCCTACATATCTGGAATTGAACTCTTGCCATCCAAACTCAACATGCAGTTGCCTCCAGAAGTTAGCCGGGGATTGTTAGTGGCCGATTTGGACCCTGCCTCAGCTAAACTGGCAATTGGTATTTTAGGGCCCTTTCTATCGGCATTTGCCTTTCTATTTATAATCAGAATAGTGATGTCTTGGTACCCTAAGCTTCCGGTGGATAAATTTCCTTATGTCATTGCTTATGCTCCCACTGAACCGTTTCTTATCGCAACCCGGAAGGTGATTCGGCCTCTTGGAGGTGTGGATGTAACCCCTGTAGTGTGGTTTGGGTTGGTTAGCTTCCTTAACGAGATCTTGCTCGGGCCGCAAGGGCTTCTCGTCCTTATCTCGCAACAGGTTAGCTAGTATGCATTGTGACCGAATCAAGAAATTGTTGTATTAATATTCTTTTGTTTTACATATGACCCTACAATGTCCCTTAAATTTTGGAAACCATGAAAGATTCTGGAGTAAAGTTCTAACTTCTTGCCACACTTGAGCAAGAGCCTAAACACTATTGAAGTTACAGCGAGTAGATATAATATTTTTGCTTCAAGACTTCCATCTTTAGTTGACATTCTTCAATAGAACGATCCTTAATAGCATTTATACCCGTTATGATTTGCTTTTGATATGGAGTTTACTGAGTGCTTACTAATCTCACAGATATTCCAGTTGGTTGATAGAAAAAGTTTTAAGTGTCGAGCACAGTGATTGATTCCCTTACAAGAATATAGAGGATTTCATTAACATTTTAAAGAAAAACTTAAAAAGAAGGCTTTAATCACTTGCTGCATATCAATCTTGAATGATTTCCATGCTGAAGCTCATCCATCAGCAGATGTGCAACCGATTTGTATCCCAGCTCCCTAGCTTTGAATTTGATGACAAAAACGATACACAAATAAATAATAGTGTCAATATTTTTCAAGTTTACCCGGTTGGGAAAGACAATGAATCAATTCAAGAAATACCTCTGTAAATTGCTATCCCTGTTGGAGCCATCTTTCGATTCTTCAAGCACAATGAACTGTGGAAAATTGCAAAAGTGAATCTGTGAACTACATATAAAATCCTCAATCACACACAGGGAAGACGATGATGACGAGTCACGTACCTGTTACATATCCAGTAAGGGTTGATTCCTTTTTCTTCTATGCAGTGAGGGCACATCCATTCCTTATTTTCTCTTACCTCCTCCAGTTCTAATTAAAATTTTATTTTATTTTGACACAATGAGTTTTAATTAGTCCAAGTGATTTTTTAATTGAAAATACCAATGGGGTAAAAAGTGAGAATTAGATTATATTAAACCTGTTTAAAAAATAAATACAAGTACCAGGGTTACTTATTCATAATATTGATCTTACCTTCTCCATATCTAACCTTGAGACAAGCCCGACACAGAACACCATAGCTAGAGTGACAAACTGAACAATCTGTCTTTCCTGCTTCATATATATATATATATATATATTGTGAAAATGATATTCTTGTTTAAAATGAACTGTAAAGGGATCTCAGTGCTAAAACTAACCTATGCAGGACTGATTTGCATCAAGATTACCACATCGCTTGCAATCTTCCTCCGCGCACAATGTCTTTTGCCTTCTTATAGTTCGTATGTTTAAGATCCAAAGTAACATTATACAAGTTTAACCCGAAATCATATCAAACACAAATTCGGATGACATTACAGTTCAGATGTTCAAAAAGAAGTGTACCTTTTTTTTTAAAGATTATATGCGTATTGAATTAAGTTGATATAATATACTATCGATTTATGGATGGTTACCGGTGTAGATAGTATAGGGTTTATTGACCACAAATTCTGCCTATTTCTTGCTTCATTATTTAAACATGCTCTATGCATTCTCTCAATCCTATCGCGTTGGCTAATAGAAGTGGTAGAAGAGAAATAAACCTGCAGAAATGGCAGCAAATACCAAACACAGTGTTGTAAACACTGCATCTCCCTTTCTTAGCACGGCAACGCCGTGCAGAGTCCAGAGACAATAATTGATAACTCGCATCATTTATTATCACTGCTGGAGCATTTGCTGGCCCTTTTTCTTTCCCTTCGCTGGAAAAAGATTTACTCCCTTCTTCCTTCTCTTCATAGTCAATCACTTTCCCTACTTCAAAATGGAGATATTACTTCTTTTTTTTGGGGGAAATATACTCTAGAAACGGAGAACCGATGGATTTTTTTTATTACCTTTGAGCCGGTTAGATCTACGCAAAGAGGGAGTTGAAGGATGAGGGACTCCTTTGAAACGAATTGAGCGGCGCACAGGCGTGACATCGTACTCTTTCTTCTGCCATTTTCTGACTTCTTTCTTTGGTTTTGCAGAGGAAACGATTGACCGTAGGTCGGAGATAGTTTTCTGAACTCCCAGGGAGGCTAATCGAGCCTGTATAGGATTTCATTATTCATAAAAGAAAGATGAAAAGAAAGATGAAAAGAAAGAGAACGATATGAAGAGGGGGTGGAGCTGACCTGGTTCTCTAAGATGCGAGCATTCCTTAGACTTTCATAGTCGGATTTGGCTCTAAGCTTTCCCATTTGCTTTCTGATATCTCAGTTCCTCTGATGAACGTAATAGTGGCTTGCAAATACAATTCTTATCCAAATCACTTACCAATATAAGCTTAAACGAAGCTCTTATATTTTTAGTCTGTTTCCTTGTTGGGTTTCACAGTTTTGTGACCTATATCAACGGTCATGTTTCGACTGGGGTATTTGAATATTCAAAATTCAAACTCTAAAGTGCTTAGACTGTCTCAACTGATATATATACATATGAAGAGAGTGTTAAGATTCCATCACACATGTTTTTTTTAACACTTGGATTAAATTAGTTTAATCATTGAGATTACATTTTTTTAAATTGATGATAATTCATTTTTTTAACTTATCTTATTTTTTAATATTAATTTCAATCCCTCATTTTTTGTTGATTCAACGATTTAAAAAATTTATAAAAAATAAAACTTTTCTAGGACTTTTATTTCACATATATTATATTTTTCATATCTATTTTATGGTAATGGTAATGATAATTAAAATTTGATTTAACAAATGTAATGATATAAGTTAAAACTTTTAAATTTTTAAAAATATTGTACTTTTTTTTCTTTTCGATGGCGACACTAGTCATGGTGCTTGTTGTCGATCGTCATTAATCATTATTTTTCCTTTATTTTATTATAGCGTTTTTTCTTTTATTTTTATCCGCTTTTATGACACGTCTTCTTCTGGCTTTACGACATGTTTTTCTTTGCCTTTATGAAACATTTTTGGTCGTTTGACCGTTGTTTTAGTTTATCTTTTTTTTCCAGGGTTAGATTTAACATCGAAATGACTGATCGAGATGACACTTATTTTTTTATCATGTTGATCTTCCCTGCTTTGGACCATCGGATTGAATTTGGATACGCGATTTGCATTTGTAAATAGTATTTTCACGTCGCTCGATTCCGATTTACCCTTTTTTGGTGATATTTCAATAGATTTATCATCTTTTGTGATTTATTTCTCAGTACGGTTAGATCTTTTCGTATCTACTTTTTGTTCGAGTTTATTTGATTAGATTTTTTAATCTTTTCCTTGTATGACTCTTGTATGATATTCAATTACTAATTTTCTTGTATTTAGGAAAATATATTTATTATGTATTTAATTTACGGTTGTAACTATAAACCTTTATTTAATTTAGATATTTTTTGTTTTTAATAAAATTATCAGCTTCTATGAAAAAATATCGTATTTAAATTATTAAATTAATTTATAAAGTAAATTTGTAACAAATGCATAGTAGAGAGACTAATATCAATTTTTATTTTCTAACTAAACTTATATTTTTGAAATATAAAATTTATTTTCTAAAAAAATCTCAATGACAAATATTGAGTCGTTCGAATTTGGATGGTGGTCGATCTAGCATTTCGAAATCCAACGGCCAGGAAGGTGAAAGAGAAGAGATGAAGAAATATCAAGCGGTTCCTTCCTTCACCCTGGCGAAAACATAAAAAGCGCACGCGAAAATGCGAGAAATAAAATAAGAAAAAAAGAACAAAAATATTAACAATGGCGCTGCAGTGGGTGATTCTATCGTACGTGGTGGCAGCAGAGGCTGCGGTGGTTCTTCTCTTGACCCTTCCCTATCCCAAGCTGTTGAAGAGACGTTTGGTGGTTCTCTTCTCTCTCGTTGTGCAGCCTGCCCTCTTTATCGTCCCCTTTAGCGGGTTCCATCTTTTCCCTCTCTATTTCATTTCCTTTCTTCTTTCCAATGTTTGCTGAAACGGATCTTTAGATTTTCGTTTCTTTTGCTTGCTGACATCTACTGGAAGAATAAACACCGCTTGGAGTGTACCGCTGAGATCTGCAGTTTTGCACTGCTGACGAGAGAGATCGTTACGACAAATCTGTAAGTGTTATATAATTCCAATTTTGATATCTGATTATGAAATATTGCGGCCTTTTGGACACTGATTCGTTTGTTTATCAGTTTTATCCGTACTAATAATTCAGTTTTGATATCTTTTACGTTACTGTTATTCTATAATGTGGTTTTCAGTGCATTTCTGTTTTGCATTTTTCTGGCCACACACACATATATGTAAATATATATATATCGTGATCCCATGGCTTTACCTGCATAATGGTTTAATTCATTTATTGATGTTGCTGGGCGATGTTTTGAATGTTTTATTTATTTATTTGTGGCACTTCTAGCTGGTGTTTGGTTATTGAGAATTGAAATGAAATATTTGTACTTGGTTGCTCTTTCATATACCTCCATCTTTTTGGTCTATGAAGCATAGAAATAACCCAAATAATAACAGTGCGTACTGACTTACCCAGTAGCCTTTGCCAACAATATGTGCTGAAAACGGAAGATGCTCCTAAAGAATATAGCACAACACCATTTGCATTTTGACCAACATTAATTAAAATGAGCAAATCGCTTCCCTTTCATAGTATGTATTTGTTCAAAGTTATTTAAGCAAAAGTACTTTATTCACTGATACTTTCAAAATAAAAGGGAGTTAATTGATAACTCCGTAAAAAGTTCATATTTAAAGTCTTTTCACTTAAGTTATTGACTGTCTAAAAGCTTATATAGGATCATATAGATGCATTTATGAGCATATAGTTGCATGTGGTGGAAAGAAATTTTGATGTGACATTGTATTTTGTAAACGGTGTTGCGTTATGGGGAAGGTGTTTTGTTTGACGATGTGCAGGATTTGGGAGCAAGGATAAGTGTCGAGAATTGTTGTGACATGCTGGGAATGTTGAGCAGAATGCAAATGCCAACTTGGACGACGTTTCGGAAGAGAAAAAGACAAAGGAAGATATTTTTGAGAGCCAGTTGTCCTTGTCTTCACGTGCCTTTAGCTGCCAGACACCTAGGAGGGAACATCTGTCACTTGGGTCGGTTGATCCTGTTGGCACGTACGCCCAGTTATAAGCTGCTCAGGAGGGGACCACTGCCACATCTGCATCACCCCTCACGTGAAGGGAACCAACTTGGGGCATCTAGGAATTTTGATACAATTACCTAGTTTATTCCCCACTATAAATAGGAGATGAACACCAGATGAGAGACTTTTGGCCTTTACTTTACACGCCGTTTGAGCTTAATTTCAAAAGAAAATGTCTCTCATTTTTTCGTCAATAGTTTTTACCGTGGTATTCTTCCATTAACAAGCTAGAGGGAGTGGCGAGCTAGACTTCCGAGAGGAGCTATGTAATACCCCACATTTTTTACTAGTGACTAAAATGAAATTTTTAAAAGTTTAGTGGCTAAAGTATAAAGTTTGAAAAGTTTTAGGATCATAAATATAATTTTGAAAAGTTATAGATTTTAGCTCGTAAATAAACAGTTTGGCTTAAAACAAGGGGTTTTGTGGAAATTAGATTCTCAGTATGGGATTTTTATTAAAAACTATAAAATAATAATATTCGTATTGAAATAGGATAATCGAATCGAACCGGAATTTTACGAAAATTTGAAGGATGTTAGAAAGTGGTTGAAAATATTATTTTAATATTTTAGATCATATAAATTTGGCTCAAAACAGTGTAATTTTTCAGATTTGATCGAATAGTGGAATTTTAGTGACTAAAATGAAATTTTTGAAAATTGCATGGCCAAATTATAAAGTCAAAGTCAAGTTGATTCATCTTTGACCAAGAAATATTTTAATGGAAGATAATGCAATGATACTTGGTAATTATCAATTTTCATTAATGGTATTTTTTTGGACTTTTCATTAATTGAATTTTATAATATTATGGCAAGTGTATTAGTTGATAAATACTAGAATAATCAAGAAATCTATCACATTTGAAGTCATCTTCTTCACCTAGGCCGAACCACCATTTCTCTCTAAGGTGAGATTTTATTTTTTGATTTTTGAAGCTACATACTTGATTTTTGGATTAAGCTATTAGATAGAGAATTAATCTACATGAAATTCTCTATCATTTGGTACCAATATTACATGATGAACATGCATATTTCATGATATTTGGAAATTTTGGTTTATTTAAGGTTTAGGGATTTTGAAAGATTGATGAAAGATTTTGATGTTTTTGATGTTGGAGATTAATTCTAAGGCTTGTGTGATGATTAAAACTATGTGTAAAGCCTTGTATTGAATTTAGTCTAATTATGATTTTTAGGAATGTTGGGATCTTGATGTAATTTGATGTTGTTATGGTTAGAATAGCATGAATTTAATATAAGGAAGTTGAATTCATGCTTGAAATTGAATGAAAAAGTTCACCCTAAGTACTTAGTGATATTCGACCAATTGGGGAAAAATTAGGGAAAAATATTGAAAAATTCCCTATGGTTATAATTGATGTTAGAAGTGTTATAAGTGACTTGGAGAACAATTTGGATCAATTTGGAACCTTGGAAGTGAAAAAGGCTAGTCTACAAGTTTTAAGGATTTTGGGACATTATTGTATAAATGTGAGATTTGGAGTATTCAATGATAATATTTAGTATTTAGATGTTGGAAAATTAAGTTGGAAAGTTATTTGGAAACCAAATTGAAAATTTGGTAAGAGTTTGGGTTGGAATTTGAAAGGTCCTAAGAAATGGGGACTTGTTTGCAAGTTAATAAATGTAGAAGTATCATTTGGGTAAACTAGGACAATTCTGGAAATTCTGGAAGCTTGCTGAAATTTTTGTTTAATTATTAAGTTTGAATCAAATTACAAGTTTATAGAGATTTGAAGTTGAATTGACAAAGTTTAAGAAAGTATAGGCTGTATTTGCAAGCTTTTGAATGTTTAAGTATTGATTTGAATACTTTATGGATGTGCCGGAAATTTTATGTTATTAATGTGAAATAATCATAATGGTGAAGGATCATTATGAAGTTAATAGAAAAGTTAAGGTGAATTCTAGAAAGAATTCATAATTAGTGGTTTGATTGTGTAGTTGGTAAAAATTGAAGGGTTGATAGTGAAAATAAATATTCATGGATCGAATAAGTATTTTGAGAAGTTTGAAAGCTACGATGGAAGTACGATTTAGAATTATATCGATTTAAGTATCAGATTTATTTCTATTGAATTTTTATATTTAAG